TACAATGTGATTTTCTGGATTTTTTTTTCTCATTTTGTCTCTCATAGTTGAGGTATACCTATGATGAAAATTACAGGCCTCTCTCATCTTTTTAAGTGGGAGAACTTGCACAATTGGTGGCTGACTAAATACTTTTTTGCCCCACTGTATATATGAGCAAAGGTGGCTGTGGAAATAAATCTTATCTTTATAAATTAAAAATACATTTTATCTTTCATTCAAAAATTTTAACTTATCATTGAAGTAAAACAATTGAAAATCTCATTGTGAAATAAATGCTTTCTCTAGTTTATGTTGGCCATAATCATTGGTACCCAATTATTGCAACCTCCTTTTCCCAAGATAACAGGTCTGAGTTTTCTCCTATAATGCCTGAAGAGTTTGGAGAACACCTGATAAGAGATCAGAGACCATTCCTTCATACAGAATCTCTCCAGATCCTTCAGATTCACAGCTTCATGCTGGTGCTGCTTCTCTTCAGTTCACCACACTCATTTTCTGTAGGGTTCAGTTCAGAGGACAGGGCATGAAGGCAGAAGCTTAATTTTGTGCTCAGTGACCCATTTTTGTGTTGATTTCTATGTTTGTTTTGGATTATTGTCCTGATGGAAGATCCAACCACGGCCCATTGTAAGATTTCTAACGGAGGCAGTCAGGTTTAGATTTTTTATCTGTTGGTATTTGATAGAATCCATGATGCCATGCATCTGAACAAGATGTCCAGGACCTCAGGCAGAAAAACAGGCCCACAATATTAAAGATCCAGCAGTATATTTGCATGGGGTCATGGGGTACTTTTTTCCCTGTTTGTACTAAACAAATCTAGTGGGTTTGCTGCCAAAAGGCTCTTTTTTTGTGACCATAGGACCATAGAAGCCAGTGCCATTTGAAGTTCTAGTCGTGTCTGACAACTGAATATGCTGGAGTTTGTTTTTGGATGAGCGAGGAGAATTTTTCTCGAAACCCTCCCAAACAACGTGATTATGTAGGGAATGTTTGATATTTTTTTAGGCTTTCTGACCCCAAGACTCAACTTAATCTCTGCAATTCTCCAGATCCTTGGAGAGTCTTTGGCCACTCAAACTCTCCTCCTCACCGTGTATTAGGATGCTATAGACACGTCCTCTTCCAGGCAGATTTGTAACATCTTTAGTTGATTGGAACTTCTTAATTATTGCCCTGATGGTGGAAATGGGGGTTTTCAATGCTTTTTTTTTCAGTGTTCTTTGGTTTTACTCCTTGTGATGGATGATTAAGGGAATTTGGCCTTTGGGTTCCTCGTAATTATAATCCTGTGGAACAGGAAGTCATGGCTGGACAATTTCATGCTCCTAGTCACCCTGGTGTGCTAAAAAAATTAAAATATGAGTGGGAATATACTTCAGAGATATTTCTAGGGGTTTGTGGCCAACATGCATTGAAGAAAAAAATGTATTTCATCATGAGATTTTCTCCCCACTTTCAATTGTTTTACTTCAATGAAAGGTTAGAATTTGGGACTTTTTTTGAATGAAAGCTCAACAATGGAGCTTTATTTTCACAGCCGCCTTTGCTCATATTTGCCAAGGGTGCCAATATTAGTGGAGGGCACTGTATATACAGTGGTGTGAAAAGGTTTTTGCCCCCTTCCTGTTTTTTTTTTATTTTTTGCATATTTGTCACACTTAAAAGATTCAGATCATCAAACAAATTTTAATATTACTCAAAGATAATGCAAGTAAATACAAAATTCAGTTTTTAAATGATTTATTTTATTAAGGGAAAAAAGCTGTCCAAACCTGCCTGGCCCTAGGGACTGTAGAGACCCTACAGTTTACTTTGCTAAGATTTCACTTCGAAATAAAATTAGGAATATAAATATATATTTACAAATATTTAGTTGTACCACTTGACATTTTTGGGTGAAACTTGTTTATACACATTGTTCCCAACTCAAAAATATGCATTACATTTATTTTGAAATGATTTTCAAAATGAGTACTTGTGTGCTCAATTTGCATCTTCAGCTACATGCTGATTAAAACTTGAATTTGGCTTTTTTTGACAGAAAAAAACAAATCATGTAAATGGAACTGTGGTGTAATTATTTGACTAAACTGTTATATTGGAGGATCCTGAGATGAATCTTCAGATATATCCATTACTATTTAACTACTGTATGTTTTGTAAGATTTATTTTAGATTTTGATCATTCTGCCCTCTTTAGGCATGAGATTCTCAGCATGCTTGCCAAGAATCCACCTTTCACCAAAGCAGCGGATTCCTTGTTGTGTAATGAAGCTTTAGTGGACCAACTATGGAAGCTGATGAACTCAGGTAGAATGCATACATTTAATTTTTCTCCTCGTAAGTTCTTGTGGTGCTTATATGGACTTAATCCATCAATTTACCAAAGTTATCTAGGCCAAAAGCCCAAACAATCTCCATGTTTAGAGAGAGCATTTTGTGAATATGTACTCACATTTAGTGAATCCCAGTCAATATACATTATACTAATGTTATGCAACTCTCCATGTGGTTTGTTTTAAAAATGTCTCCCAGAATTCTTATTACATGTATTAATCCTCAGAACACTAGGACACCTTTATGTGCTGATTCTCTACTTGTAAGAAAGTAAATACGTTTGAACCCACATTAACTGTTTTTAATTATTGGCGGTTTTCTCAGGAACTTTCATAAATCTGCTTTTTGCAACCACTGGCAGTGTTTTAAAAAAAACTTAAAGATCGAAGAGAAGGTTTGTTTTCTGACAGGGAGGTCTTGTTCTGCTCCCACTGTGAAAAGATTTATTGTGATAAACTTCTGTTCATTCTGGGTTTGCAACCACTCTTGGCAGTACAAATGCTGAGCCATTGCCAGCTGTGATGAAAGTCAGTTCTTATATATTTGATTTAAGTGGTTGTAGGTGGTGGTCAAAAACTGTAATATTTTACCCCATGATCTTTTTTCTCAGTTCTTACGCTGTGGTTCCTCCAGTGCTTTTTGAAGTTGCCCAGTCTGCTATTTTGTTTAATACACACACAAACGATCCAAGAACAAAGTATTTTCTCAAATGCATGACTGCATGTTTTTTTTTTTTTTTTCAGTTTTAAAAATGGTGCTGTTGCATTAGGTTCTGTGCATAATTTGCTTTAAATCCAGTTGAGAATTTTTAATTGACATCTCATACCATTACCAAGACATGTTTTAGATCTCAGAAATAAATGCATTTTCTCTCTGTAATGTTTGGCTGATAGTGTTTCTGGAGTAGCGCATTGCCACAGAGAGAGGGATTTCCTAAGACGATTGACTTCACTGAACTTCCCCTTTTTTTTTTTCATGGCATTGCTGATTTCTTGATTTTGATTGGCTGACAGACATTTTAAGGTGTTTATTAATTTTCTATGGATGCAATAGTATGTAGTAGTTCCAGGTTTGTTGACCACATTTTAGGGAAGCCAATATATACAGTAATTTATCAACCATTGAATTATTTAAAATCGAATGCATGCCACAAAATTTTGCACTAAATTACCAGTCCAAAATTCAGTTTTTAAATGATTTATTTTATTAAGGGAAAAAAGCTGTCCAAACCTGCCTGGCCCTAGGGACTGTAGAGACCCTACAGTTTACTTTGCTAAGATTTCACTTCGAAATAAAATTAGGAATATAAATATATATTTACAAATATTTAGTTGTACCACTTGACATTTTTGGGTGAAACTTGTTTATACACATTGTTCCCAACTCAAAAATATGCATTACATTTATTTTGAAATGATTTTCAAAATGAGTACTTGTGTGCTCAATTTGCATCTTCAGCTACATGCTGATTAAAACTTGAATTTGGCTTTTTTTGACAGAAAAAAACAAATCATGTAAATGGAACTGTGGTGTAATTATTTGACTAAACTGTTATATTGGAGGATCCTGAGATGAATCTTCAGATATATCCATTACTATTTAACTACTGTATGTTTTGTAAGATTTATTTTAGATTTTGATCATTCTGCCCTCTTTAGGCATGAGATTCTCAGCATGCTTGCCAAGAATCCACCTTTCACCAAAGCAGCGGATTCCTTGTTGTGTAATGAAGCTTTAGTGGACCAACTATGGAAGCTGATGAACTCAGGTAGAATGCATACATTTAATTTTTCTCCTCGTAAGTTCTTGTGGTGCTTATATGGACTTAATCCATCAATTTACCAAAGTTATCTAGGCCAAAAGCCCAAACAATCTCCATGTTTAGAGAGAGCATTTTGTGAATATGTACTCACATTTAGTGAATCCCAGTCAATATACATTATACTAATGTTATGCAACTCTCCATGTGGTTTGTTTTAAAAATGTCTCCCAGAATTCTTATTACATGTATTAATCCTCAGAACACTAGGACACCTTTATGTGCTGATTCTCTACTTGTAAGAAAGTAAATACGTTTGAACCCACATTAACTGTTTTTAATTATTGGCGGTTTTCTCAGGAACTTTCATAAATCTGCTTTTTGCAACCACTGGCAGTGTTTTAAAAAAAACTTAAAGATCGAAGAGAAGGTTTGTTTTCTGACAGGGAGGTCTTGTTCTGCTCCCACTGTGAAAAGATTTATTGTGATAAACTTCTGTTCATTCTGGGTTTGCAACCACTCTTGGCAGTACAAATGCTGAGCCATTGCCAGCTGTGATGAAAGTCAGTTCTTATATATTTGATTTAAGTGGTTGTAGGTGGTGGTCAAAAACTGTAATATTTTACCCCATGATCTTTTTTCTCAGTTCTTACGCTGTGGTTCCTCCAGTGCTTTTTGAAGTTGCCCAGTCTGCTATTTTGTTTAATACACACACAAACGATCCAAGAACAGGCTGAAGTGTCAGTGTTGGTACTGTATTGCAAAGCACTTATGCTGCTACTGAGGTGAAACGTGTAACGGCCAGGACACACCAAGCCGACTTCAAAGAACTAGCGGCAACAAAAGCCGACGGTTTTGTCGCCTCATGTTGGCAGCATCTGGACCAAAATCTGCACTTGAACACACCACACAGACTACAGCCGACTGCAAACTAACACGTGCGTTCTGCTCCTGCGTGAGAGGAATTAGCAGTCTATATTAGCAGCTATCAATAGTAAATATTCGTCATTTAAAAGGAGAAAGCGAAAACAAGGATGTACGAGATATACGCAGTTATACAAAACATAAAAAAGCAGCGCTTGCTTACCATTTGAATATCAGTTATGTTGTTAACTTTCTTAATTTTAAGCAGCTCATGTTGTTATTAAAGTAACCTATTAGAATGCTTGGCTAAGATCACGTAACAGAACAGCCCTCTGTCTGTGCCACCTTGATTTACTTGTTTTCATCACTTTCCCTGTAATTCTCAAGCACTGACTCGTTCGCTAAACTGAACATCCAATCAGAGTTCTCTGTGCATCAACGAGCATCTGTCGAGCTAGTTTATTTGCTGTGTTCCACACATCGGCTCTCGTCGGGCACATGTCGGCACGAGTGAGAACTCTGATTGGATGTTCAATTTGTTTTAGATCATTAAATGTGAAATGTGCCCCCGGACCACAAAACCAGTCATAAGGGTAATTTTTTTTTTATTGAGATTCACACACCATCTGAAAGCTGCATAAAATCTGAAAATCTGGAATCTGAGGGTATAAAAAATCGAAATATTGAGAAAATCGCCTTTAAAGTTGTCCAAATGAAGTCCTTCGCAATGCATATTACTAATCAAAAAATAAGTTTTGATGTGTTTACAGAAGAAAATTTACAAAATATCATGATCATGAAACATGATCTTTACTTAATATCCAAATGATTTTTGGCATAAAAGAAAAATCACATACCATAGCCATATATTGTTGGCTATTGCAACAAATATAACTGCGACTTAAGACTGGTTTTGTGGTCCAGGGTCACAAATTATGTTGTCTTGGAAGTCTTCTTGAAATGCAGCTAAAATGAATTGAAATAGTTTCAATTCTATGCATTTGATGTCTAAACAGGTGAAAAGTGATGTTAATAAATAGTCAAACTAAGCAAATTTCCTAGTCACTGAGCTACTACAAGGCTGAATCCAGTTAGCTATTTGCCATTTAATATGTAACCCAAAAAAAATGCTGTCTCACAGACAGTCACTTACTGACTGGGCAGAATAGCAGCAAGGCTAATGGTTTTGGACACAGCCATAGACACTATGCTGCGTAAGTGTGGCCGTTGTTGGTTAAAACGTTAAATTCAAATATATTGAATTTAATTCATGGTGTTAGCTGGTTTAAAAGTACTGTCCCTGCAAGCAGTGTAATAAAAAAAATCTTAAGTGCCATCTGCTTGTTAAATATAATTTTAATTATTTTTTCTCATTAATCATTCTCAGCTGGAGGAGGAGCATGTTGTCATGGAGCCAGCATTGATTGGTGTGGCCATGGCCCCACTGGGTTTAAAGAGGAAGGCAGAGACTCCATTAAGTTCATCCCCTGAACCCGGACAAGTTATGCAAGAGGAGCCCAGTGCTAAAGCATCTGTTAAAAGCAAAGTGAGCAATTTGCTTTGAAATTTATTGAACCTTTTTACTAGATAGTCCCATTGAGATCAGTGATCTCTTTTACAAGAGAGAGACCTGGTCTTACAGTAGTAGTAGCTGCCTTACAAATCTCATAATTAAGATACAACATATATAACACACATTAAATACAGAGGTCTTTTACAAAAAAAAACAATC